GGATGCAATGTACATAGGGATGCTGTACATAGTGATGCTGTACATAGGATGCTGTACATAGGGATGCTGTACATAGGGATGCTGTACATAGTGATGCTGTACATAGGATGCTGTACATAGGGATGCTGTACATAGGGATGCTGTACATAGTGATGCTGTACATATGGATGCTGTACATAGGGATGCTGTACATAGTGATGCTGTACATAGGATGCTGTACCATAGTGATGCTGTACATAGTGATGCTGTACATAGTGGATGCTGTTGTCTACATAGTGATGCTGTACATAGTGATGCTGTACATAGGGATGCTGTACTTACTAGGATGCTGTACATAGTGATGCTGTACATAGGATGCTGTACATAGGATGCTGTACATAGGGATGCTGTACATAGTGATGCTGTACATAGGATGCTGTACATAGGGATGCTGTACATAGTGATGCTGTACATAGGGATGCTGTACATAGTGATGCTGTACATAGTGATGCTGTACATAGGGATGCTGTACATAGTGATGCTGTACATAGTGATGCTGTACATAGTGATGCTGTACATAGGATGCTGTACATAGTGATGCTGTACATAGTGATGTGACATGTGATGGACATAGATGCTAAATGATGCTGTACATAGTGATGCTGTACATGTGAGCTGTACATAGTGATGCTGTACATAGGGATGCTGTACATAGTGATGCTGTACATAGTGATGCTGTACATAGGGATGCTGTACATAGTGATGCTGTACATAGTGATGCTGTACATAGTGATGCTGTACATAGGGATGCTGTACATAGGGATGCTGTACATAGTGATGCTGTACATAGTGATGCTGTACATAGTGATGCTGTACATAGTGATGCTGTACATAGGGATGCTGTACATAGTGATGCTGTACATAGGGATGCTGTACATAGGGATGCTGTACATAGGGATGCTGTACATAGTGATGCTGTACATAGGGATGCTGTACATAGTGATGCTGTACATAGGGATGCTGTACATAATGATGCTGTACATATGGATGCTGTACATAGGGATGCTGTACATAGGGATGCTGTACATAGGGATGCTGTACATAGGGATGCTGTATATAGGGATGCTGTACATAGGGATGCTGTACATAGGGATGCTGTACATAGGGATGCTGTACATAGGGATGCTGTACATAGTGATGCTGTACATAGTGATGCTGTACATAGGGATGCTGTACATAGGGATGCTGTACATAGGGATGCTGTACATAGGGATGCTGTACATAGGGATGCTGTACATAGGGATGCTGTACATAGTGATGCTGTACATAGGGATGCTGTACATAGTGATGCTGTACATAGGGATGCTGTACATAAGGATGCTGTACATAGGGATGCTGTACATAGGGATGCTGTACATAGGGATGCTGTACATAGGGATGCTGTACATAGGGATGCTGTACATAGTGATGCTGTACATAGGGATGCTGTACATAGGGATGCTGTACATAGTGATGCTGTACATAGGGATGCTGTACATAGTGATGCTGTACATAGGGATGCTGTACATAGTGATGCTGTACATAGGGATGCTGTACATAGGGATGCTGTACATAGGGATGCTGTACATAGGGATGCTGTACATAGGGATGCTGTATATAGGGATGCTGTACATAGGGATGCTGTACATAGGGATGCTGTACATAGGGATGCTGTACATAGGGATGCTGTACATAGTGATGCTGTACATAGGGATGCTGTACATAGTGATGCTGTACATAGGGATGCTGTACATAGGGATGCTGTACATAGGGATGCTGTACATAGGGATGCTGTACATAGGGATGCTGTACATAGGGATGCTGTACATGGGGATGCTGTACATAGGATGCTGTACATAGGGATGCTGTACATAGTGATGCTGTACATAGGGATGCTGTACATAAGGATGCTGTACATAGGGATGCTGTACATAGGGATGCTGTACATAGGGATGCTGTACATAGGGATGCTGTACATAGGGATGCTGTACATAGGGATGCTGTATTTAACAGGAATTAAAGCTTTGGAAAATTATTTTGGGTTTAAGTAGAAATAATCATAACATCGTAGTTTGGTCTACTCCGTTTGGTCTACTCCGTTTGGTCTACTCCGTTTGGTCTACTCCGTTTGGTCTACTCCGTTTGGACTTTTTCCATAATTTGATGTATTTTTAAAAAAAACGTTTTCGTGATCTTTACTGTGGAAACGTTCGCCAGCCAGTGGCTTCTTCTGTCCATTATACAGAAGAACGGTGGAAGATGAAGAGGAGTTTGAGGTAATCAGTCCCTCGGTCTGGAATCATTGTTTTCATTCCATCATTGACGAGGACTGATGGACTGAAGACACCGACTCCAGGCTGAGTGACTGACTACCTCAAGTTTCTCCTCATCTTCCATTATACTTCTCTGTATTGGACTGAAGAAACCACTGGCAAGCGAAACGTTTCAACAATAAAGATTCCTAAACATTGCACAAGTGTCTCATTTTATTTCCATGACGTCTACGGTCGACATCGATACTGATTCTGTTTGATGAATATGACACATGTTCTGTACTTGGGTGTGTTTATTGCCGAAATGTTTCGCCTACCCAGCAGGCTTCTTCAGTCATATACGGAGGGAGAGGTACAAACGGAATAAAGATGATATAATCAGTCCATCAACCTTGAAGGAAAAGTATTGAGGTGGTCAGTCCCTCAGCCAGGAGAAGTGTTCAGCTCCATGGTCTGGAACGATATGAAGTTGAAGCATAAGAACGGAGTCTTCAGTACTATCAAAGGTGTCCTCTGTACCATTTTGCATTCTTGATCACGTGTCTACTAGATATGAGTCAGGAGGGTTGGATTCCAGAGGGACCTGCCGTCTTCCACTAGTGATTCCCATCTTTTACAATGTCTTCGAGATCTTCCACCTCACCTTCGACAGTATTTAAGACTCCGTTCTCATGCTTCAACTTCATATCTTTCCAGACCATGGAGCTGAACTCTTCTCCAGGCTGAGGGACTGACCACCTTGTTCCAGACCATGGAGCTGAACTCTTCTCCAGGCTGAGGGACTGACCACCTTAAATTATTTTCCTCCAAGGTTGATGGACTAATTACATCATCTTGATTTCATTTTTACTGCTCCCTTTCTATTTGACTGAAGAAGTCTACTTTGTAGGCGAAACGTCATCGATAAAGATACCTAACTGTTGCACATGTGCCTTACTCTTCAGGCTTTTTCTGTCGAATAGAATCGCCTTCGTTTTCGGAACGTTTCGATCACAAAGATTCTAAGCTCTGCATGTGTATCTTGTTCATCAACTTCTCGGTATTAAATCCCATTAATAACTTGATGAGTACACTAAAAGACAAAACAATAAGTGACAAGGGCCCAAGACTGTTCAACTGCCTCGCAGCATACATTAGAGGGATTACCAATAGACCCCTGGCTGTCTTCAAGAAGGCTCTGGACAGCCACCTAAAGTCAGTACCTGACCAACCGAGCTGTGGTTCATACATCGGTCTGTTTGCAGCCAGCAGTAACAGAGTGGTTGATCAGGCCCTGATCTACCACGAGACCTGGTCATGGATAATTTCACAAGACCGTTAAATATTAGCATAAACATTTCATTACAATCTATAGAGGTCTAGAATTTTAACTTCCTGAAGATTTTTGAAAAATCTCAAAATATGTGAAAATTGTAAGACATTATAATAATGTTGGTAGAATTACTGATAATATGTTAGGTAAAAGGACACAAGTGCAAATAATGCGACATTTTATTGTGGCAACGTTTCGCTCTCCAGGAGCTTATGTAATGGCTTGACAAAGATCCTGGAGAGCGAAACGTTGCCACAATAAAATTTCGCACTTGTGTCTTTACCTAACAAGACAGACATATGTGCAACAGTTAGGTATCTTTATTCCGAAACGTTTCGCCTACACAGTAGACTTCTTCAGTCGAGTGCAGAGGCGGCAGCAGCAGTGAAGATGTAATGACGATGTAATCAATCGGGATTGTATACCATTCTTTTATTCACATGTGAAAATATTGATGTCAAGGTTTTTCGTTTTACACTGTGGGAAGGAGTGACTTCTCAGACCAGACATCTTGTAGCTCAAGTGTAGACCACATGATGATCCAAGTGTAGACATAATCCAGGTGTAGACCGGATGATAATCTAGGTGTAGACCGGATGACAATCTAGGTGTAGACCGGATGATAATCTAGGTGTAGACCGGATGATAATCTGGGTGTAGACCGGATGATAATCTAGGTGTAGACCGGATGATAATCTAGGTGTAGACCGGATGATAATCTAGGTGTAGACCGGATGATAATCTGGGTGTAGACCGGATGATAATCTAGGTGTAGACCGGATGATAATCCAGTGGCCTGGCGGCTGAAACTCTCGTTTCACACAGCGCTGGTAGAAACATTTGATGTGTTTCTTTACACCGGTTATCAGTGTCCCCCATCAGTAAAATGGACACCTGGGTGTTAGTGAACTGGTGTGGGTCGCATCCCCGGGAAAAAAAACTGACCTATTTTGCCCGAAATGTTTTGCACAACAAGCGGTTTTCTATACTTGTAGAAATAAAGATATTATTAGACGACCGATGTGAATCCAGGTATAAGACAGACAGAAATAAATCAAGGAGCATAAACATGATGATCATTAGGAAATAATACGATGAGACAAAAGATTGTTGGTTAACGAGGCTTAAAGATAAACACTACACGAGGGTCATTAAGGCTACATGTCACCTGTTCACCACCAGTCAAAAATACTTTAATTCTTAAAGTGGAGATTATATTAAACTCCTAGTGTGTATATACTGAGAGTCACATCTCTCAGTGTGTATACACTGAGACACTTGTTAGTGTATATACACTGAGGGATGTGTATGTGTGTGTGTGTGTGTGTGTGTGTGTGTGTGTGTGTGTGTGTGTGTGTGTGTGTGTGTGCGTCGCTTCATTCAGATATCATTTACAGGCAGAGAATCCCTTATACAAGAGTGCGGAAACTACGTTCAAGAACCCAGCGTTTGCGAAGTCTCAGTAGACGGAGGAAGATGCTACATCATAGTACCAGTAGACGGAGGAAGATGCTGGAAGGAGTGGAGGATGAGGAGAGAGCCTTCTACTTTACTATTCTTGTATCAACTATCAGCTAATAGTAAATAGTTCTTCACAGTGATACTAGTAGTTAGTCGTTCTTTGCATATGGTAATGCACACTGAAAAATCTCCTATCTGCCTGTTATTTGAAGTATTGCAGTGCACCTCCTCCCAGTGCACTTCCTCCCAGTGCACCTCCTGCCAGTGCACCTCCTCCCAGTGCACCTCCTCCCAGTGCACCTCCTCCCAGTGCACCTCCTCCCAGTGCACCTCCTCCCAGTGCACCTCCTCCCAGTGCACCTCCTCCCAGTACACCTCCTCCCAGAGCACCTCCTCCCAGTGCACGTCCTCCCAGCCCCCTCCCAGTGCACCTCCTCCCAGTGCACCTCTTCCCAGTGCACCTCCTCCCAGTGCACGTCTTCCCAGTGCACGTCTCCCAGTGCACCTCCTCCCAGTGCACGTCCCCCATGCAACTCAGCCCAGTGCACGTCCTCACAGTCAACCCCTCCAGTTACTCCTCCACATGCACCTCCCAGTGCACGTCCCTCAGTGCACGTTCCTGTGGGACCTCCCAGTGCACTACCTCCATACTACCTCTCCCAGAGCACCTCCCTAGTCACGTTCCTCGTGCACCCTCCAGTGCCCTACTCCAGTGAATCCTCCTTCAGTGCCACACTCCTTAGTGCACGTTCTTCCAGTGCACGTCTTCCCATGCACCTCCTCCCATGCACTCCTCCAGTGCTCCTACCCAGTCAACTCCTCCAGTGCACTCTCCCTAGTCACTCCTCAGTGCACGTCTCCCAGTGCACGTCCTCCTATGCACCTTCCCCAGTGCACCTCCTCCAGTGCACCTCCTCCCAGTGCACCTCCTCCCATCTCAAGACAAGATCAAGGCACAAGTGAAAAGTAAAGGAATGAAGATTTTTAAATCGATGCAAATAACCTAGAGAACTTATACAAGTATGCGATGATTACTATGTCCTTAGAACTACACAAGTGCCTTAAGTAACTTATATATTACTTGTTGTAGACACCACAAGTACATTAAGTAACTTAAATATTGTTGTAGAACCAATTCCTTAAGTATTGATATTATTCTTGTAGACACACAAGTGCCTTAAGTAACTTATATATTACTTTTGTTAAACCACAAGTACCATTATATTTTATATTATTTGTAGACACCACAGTCCTTAAGTAACTTCTAATTACTTGTTGTAGACACCACAAGTCCTTAAGAACTTAATATTAACTTGTTGTAGACACAATCCTTAATAAACTTATATATTACTTGTTAGACCCACAGTACTTGTTAAGTTTTAATTATTTCTGTTAGTACACCACAGTCTTCAGTAACTTCAATACTTGTTGTAGACACTCACAAGTGACCTTAAGACTTATGATTACTTGTTGTAACACCCAACCTTAAGTAATTAAAATATGCTACTGTTGTTAACACACAAGTGCTTAAGTTACTATACTATTACTTGTGTAAATAACACAATGCCTAAGTAACTTATATTACTTGTTGTGACCACAAGTACCTTAAGTACTATAATTACTTGTTGTAGACACCACAAGTATTAATAACTTATATATTACTTGTTGTAGACACCACAAGTGCCTTAAGTAACTTATATATTACTTGTTGTAGACACCACAAGTGCCTTAAGTAACTTATATATTACTTGTTGTAGACACCACAAGTGCCTTAAGTAACTTATATATTACTTGTTGTAGACACCACAATGCCTAAGTAACTTATACATACTTTGTAGACCACCACAATGCCTAATAACTATATATTACTGTTGAACACCACAAGTACCTAAGTAACTTATATATTACTTGTTGTAGACACCACAAGTACCTAAGTAACTTATATATTACTTTTAGACCACCACAAGTCCTAATAACTTATATATACTGTTGTAGACACCCAAGTACCTTAATAACTATATATTACTTGTTGTAGACACACACAAGTACCTTAGTAACTTATATATCACTCTTGTAGACACCACAAGTACCTTAAGTAACTTATAATTACTTGTTGTAACACCACATGCCTTAAGTAACTATATATACTGTTGTAACACACAAGCCTTAAGTAACTTATATATTACTTGTTGAACACCACAAGCCTTAATAACTATATATCACTTGTTGTAACACCCAGAAGTGCCTTAAAACTTACACATTACTTGTTGAGACACCACAATGCCTTAACTAACTTAATATACAAGTACCTTAGTAACTTATATACCTATTGTTAACACCACAAGTGCCTTAATAACTATACATTACTTGTTGTACACCACCAAGTACCCTTAAGATAACTTATCAATTACAAGTACCTTAAAACTTATATATTACTTGTTTAGACACCACAAGTGCCTTAAGTAACTTAATATATTACTTGTTAGACACCAACAAGTCCTTAAGTAACTTATATATTACTTGTTGTAGACACCACAAGTGCCTTAAGTAACTTATATATTACTTGTTGTAGACACCACAAGTACCTTAAGTAACTTATATATTACTTGTTGTAGACACCACAAGTACCTTAAGTAACTTATATATTACTTGTTGTAGACACCACAAGTACCTTAAGTAACTTATATAACATAAATGTCAATTTGCACTGTGTACAAATCTTGACAATATTTTGTGAACTTTCTCTGGTAATTATGTGGAAGACAGATTCCTTACTAAAACATGTACAATACATGAACTATTTTAGATTTAGTTTGCATATACATTTTAAATTAATATAAGAGATGTTATTGAGTTTTTTTATTATATTCTTAACTAAAACTTTTTCCATTTTACCTTCAATGGTCCTAAATTAGTGATATGTGTCGACTCGTCTTTTATACGACAATATTCCACAGCGGAATATTCAACTGAAGACTTGGTAGAAATAATCTGCCAGCGTGTTCACTGTTCATTGTTCAGTCTAGTTGTGTAAGTTATCTTCGTTGATGCAAAAATTTAACTTTCAGACCTTCCCGCTCAGTTAACCTCCAGGACCTTAACAGTCTCTAAGTTAACTACATCAGACTAGTGAGTGGAAGATAATCACAACAGTTCTTCGCCACTTTAAGAGAGTTAAACAACTGCTACAGTTTCTAACATTCATGAATCTTACAAACATTACTACACGTCACCATAAACGTTACACTTAAAATAAAAAAAAATAGTGAAAAATCTTTTAATAAAAAAACTCTCATGAGATGAATGTGACTTACATGTCACATACAAAAAATGACAAATTTATTATAAAAACACACACACACACACACACACACACCACACACACACACACACACACATACATACATACATATATATATATATATATATATATATAATATATATATATATATATATATATATATAATAAGATCACAGTAAACAGGTGATTTCAGAATATGCAAAACAACCACTGTGAAAGAATAGAGGAACAATAAAAGTAATGCATCAGAGGAAGGCATATAAAGGGTCTAGACCACACCTCACTATCCACATCCCACAACAAAGCAACACCTGACGCGCGACTCATAAGAAAGAGCACACTGCACCAGGTCCGCTGGCCCAACTAGACAGGTCCTTCATGCAACCCACCAACAAACCATTCTACCCAATAATAAATTTTAAAATTCTTAATTCTTGGGTAGAATAGTTTGTTGGGGGGTTGCACGAAGGACCTGCCCTATTGGGCCAGCGGACCTGCTGCAGTGTTCCCTTTCTTATGATCCCGCGTCAGTGTTGCTTTGTTGTGGGATGTGATATGAGTTGGTCTAGACCCTTTTATATGCCTTTCCCTCTGATGCATTACTTTTATTGTTCCTTGATTTGTGAGTAGTCACGAAAGCGCTTGGAATTTCTCTATTCTTTCACATGGTGGTTTTGCATATTCTGAAATCACCTGTTTACTGTGATCTTATGTATATATATATATATATATATATATAATATATATATATATATATATATAAAATATATATATATATATATATATAATATATATATATATATGCATATGTAAAAGTATTTACAAATCGAAATATGTTGACCTCAACTAATGAAATGAAAAATTTTTAGTAGATTTTGACTAGATGGAACAAATTTGTTCACGAATCTTATGTGTGTATGAAGCATGTGTTAAGGGAGGTTCTTGTGGTATGCCTCCCTTAAGGGAGGTTCTTGTGGTATGACCTCTTAAGGAAGGTTCTTTGATCCAAAGAATTAGACATGTCCTCCTTTACCTTGGATCAAACTTGACTACCTCTCATTTCCAGGTGTTGTCTGGCCCCTACGCTTCTATGTTTCTTCCTGGGAATATTAATAACTTTTATAATATGTTACCTTTGCTCTTATTAACGGAAGTTTCTGTAGTTATTTAAACTCCACTTTCTGTAATTTGTAGAATTTCATTATTATTGTTGTAAAAATCAATCCTGTTAACTTTTATTGTACAAAGTTGTATAATACTTTAGATTACTTTGAAATATATTTTCAGTTATATTCTAAGTTAGGTTAAGTTATGACTAGCCAGAAATAAGTGCTTGTGAGGTTACATATTCATCGTCATTCTACAGACTTCCACTCCTACGACCACTCACGAGTTACTAGATTTAATAGTCTATCAGGTCGTCTTCCGCATCAACAACAGCAAGACATCGTGATATTTTTTATTGTAAAAGGCCTTGATATCTCAGGACAAAGGTGTGTGTTATCACACACACGTTCTACCTGATTTCCGCTGCTAAATTTGGTCAAAGATTCGTGGCATTGCATCCTCTCTGTCAACAGGATTTCGGGAGAGATACTACTAGGAGAGAAATGGTTATAATTATAACCATAATTTTTAAAAGAGTGGACAGGTAAACCAGCTGAAGGTCTCGGTGATATGACCAAAAGCTTCAGCTGTGGGTCATCATATGACTAAGACCCACGTCAACAAGCACTTGTCCTGTGTCCTGACAAACCTTACCTAGCCGGGAAAGGTACCGAAGAGTACAAGTAGAGTTCAAGGTCTGTAAAGAGTTGAATGCATCCATAAGAAACGCTTTTTCTTCCCCGACTTATTTCGTGATAATGTATATTCAGGTGTATGCTGGCCAGACTAGTGTCCAGCACACACCAGACAACTAGTGTCCAGCACACACCAGACAACTAGTGTCCAGCACACACCGGACAACTAGTGTCCAGCACACACCAGACAACTAGTGTTCAGCACACACCAGACAACTAGTGTCCAGCACACACCAGACAACTATGTCCAGCACACACCAACAACTAGTGTTCAGCACACACCAGACAACTAGTGTCCAGCACACACCAGACAACTAGTGTTCAGCACACACCAGACAACTAGTGTCCAGCACACACCAGACAACTAGTGTTCAGCACACACCAGACAACTAGTGTCCAGCACACACCCGAAAAACTAGTGTCCAGCACACACCAGACAACTAGTGTCCAGCACACACCAGACAACTAGTGTCCAGCACACACCAGACAACTAGTGTTCAGCACACACCAGACAACTAGTGTCCAGCACACACCAGACAACTAGTGTTCAGCACACACCAGACAACTAGTGTCCAGCACGTACCAGACAACTAGTGTCCAGCACGTACCAGACAACTAGTGTCCAGCACACACCAGACAACTAGTGTCCAGCACACACCAGACAACTAGTGTTCAGCACACACAAGACAACTAGTGTCCAGCACACACCAGACAACTAGTGTCCAGCACACACCAGACAACTAGTGTCCAGCACGCACCAGACAACTAGTGTCCAGCACGTACCAGACAACTAGTGTCCAGCACACACCAGACAACTAGTGTCCAGCACACACCAGACAACTAGTGTCCAGCACACACCAGACAACTAGTGTCCAGCACACGCCAGACAACTAGTGTCCAGCACGTACCAGACAACTAGTGTCCAGCACACACCAGACAAACTAGTGTCCAGCACACACCAGACAACTAGTGTCCACACGCACCAGACAACTAGTGTCCAGCACTACCAGACAACTAGTGTCCAGCACACACCAGACAACTAGTGTCCAGCACACGCCCGACAACTAGTGTCCCAGCACACACCAGACAACTAGTGTCCAGCACACCCAGACAACTAGTGTCCAGCAAAGTACCAGACAACTAGTGTCCAGCACACACCAGACCAACTAGTGTCCAGCACACACCAGACAACTAGGTCCAGCACACACCAGACAACTAGTGTCCACACACGCCAGACAACTAGTGTCCAGCACACACCAACAACTAGTGTCCAGCACACGCCAGACAACTAGTGTCCAGCACACACCGGACAACTAGTGTCCAGCACACACCAACAACTAGTGTCCAGCACGTAAACCCGACAACTAGTGTCCACACACACCAGACAACTAGTGTTCAGCACACACCAGACAACTAGTGTCCAGCACACACCAGACAACTAGTGTCCAGCACGTACCAGACAACTAGTGTCCAGCACACACCGGACAACTAGTGTCCAGCACACACCAGACAACTAGTGTCCAGCACACACCAGACAACTAGTGTCCAGCACACACCAGACAACTAGTGTCCCCAGCACACACAACAACTAGTGTCCAGCACCACACCAACAACTAGTGTTCACACACACCAACAACTCGTGTCCAGCAGTACCAGACAACTAGTGTCCACACACACCAGACAACTATTTCAGCACACACCAGACAACTAGTGTCCAGCACGTACCAGACAACTAGTGTCCAGCACACACCAGACAACTAGTGTCCAGCACACACCAGACAACTAGTGTCCAGCACGTACCAGACAACTAGTGTCCAGCACACACCAGACAACTAGTGTCCAGCACACACCAGACAACTAGTGTCCAGCACACACCAGACAACTAGTGTTCAGCACAAACCAGACAACTAGTGGCCAGCACGTACCAGACAACTAGTGTCCAGCACACACCAGACAACTAGTGCCACTAGAGCTAAGCAGGTGGTATTTAACACCCTGATCTCACTAACAAACAGGTGATATTTAACACTCTGAGCTCACTAACAAACAGATGATATTTAACACCCTGAGCTCACTAACAAATAGGTGATATTTAACACCCTGATCTCACTAACAAACAGGTGATATTTAACACTCTGAGCTCACTAACAAACAGGTGATATTTAACAATCTGAACTCACTAACAAACAGGTGATATTTAACACCCTGAGCTCACTAACAAACAGATGATATTTAACACCCTGAGCTCACTAACAAATAGGTGATAAATTTTAAAACCTGACTCACTAACAACGGTGAATTTTACAACCCTGTAGCTCACTAACAAACAGGTGATATTTAACACCCTGAGCTCACTAACAAACAGGTGATATTTAACACCCTGAGCTCACTAACAAACAGGTGATATTTAACACCCTGAGCTCACTAACAAACAGATGATATTTAACACCCTGAGCTCACTAACAAATAGGTGATATTTAACACCCTGAGCTCACTAACAAACAGGTGATATTTAACACCCTGAGCTCACTAACAAACGGGTGATATTTAACACCCTGAGCTCACTAACAAACAGGTGATATTATACACCCTGAGCTCACTAACAAAATCCGTAATAACTCGCTCCCGTTTATAGCCAGACTTTAATAATCATCTAACTTCTATGTAAAGCCTTAATGTTCTCGTTTTTACAAAAAATGTAAAGTATTAACATTATTAGTATTACTATAATTAACATAATTTTAATTAATGTAATTAATATTGAACAGTGACACCAGATACTCAACAAGCAAAATAAGGGGTAATTACCCCATGTTTACCCATGCTAATTGCCAAATGTTAATTACCTTATGTTAATTACCTCATGTTAATTACCCCATGTTAATTACCCTATGTTAATTACCTCATGTTAATTACCACATATTAATTACCCCATGTTAATTACCCCATTTTAATTTACCCAATGTTAATTACCTCATGTTAATTACCCCATGTTAATTACCCAGTGTTAATTACCCCATGTTAATTACCACTGGGATAAGGGGACACCCAGATAACAGAGTTTCAAGCTGAGTCATAAGAGATATGTTCGTTATAATGTTTACCTCTGCACACTATCTTATACATAGTGTTTAATTTAACTTCTTTCGTTTATTACAATGTTTAATGCAACGTATTTATTGTGATACATTTGTAGTAAAATTTTAGTTTAACATTTGTAAAGAATTTGTAGTAAATATTTGTAGTGAAACATTTGTAGTGAAACATTTGTAGTGAAACATTTGTAGTGAAACATTTGTAGTGAAACATCTGTAATAAAACGTCTGTAGTGAAATGTCTGTAGTAAAACATCTGTAGTAAAACATCTGTAGCAAAACATCTGTAGTTAAACATCTGTAGCAAAACATCTGTAGTAAAACATTTGCAGTAAAACATCTGTAGTAAAACTTCTGTAGTAAAATATTTGTAGTAAAACATCTGTAGTAAAACATCTGTAGTAAAACATCTGTAGTAAAACATCTGTAGTAAAACGTCTGTAATAAAACATCTGTAGAAAAACATTTGTAGCAAAACATTTGTATAAACGTTAATAAAACATTTGTATAAAACATTAATAAAACATTTGTTGTACGTTAAACATTTGTTCTACGTTAAACATTTGTTGTACGTTAAACATTTGTAGTACGTTAAACATTTGTTAGTACGTTAAAACATTTGTAGTACGTTAAACATTTTGTAGTACGTTAAACATTTGTAGTACGTTAAACATTTGTTGTACGTTAAACATTTGTAGTACGTTAAACATTCGTTGTACGTTAAACATTTGTTGTACGTTAAACATTTGTAGTACGTTAAACATTTGTTGTACGTTAAACATTTGTAGTACGTTAAACATTTGTTGTACGTTAAACATTTGTAGTACGTTAAACATTTGTAGTACGTTAAACATTTGTTGTACGTTAAACATTTGTTATATAAGTCGGTTAGATTTTTATTAATTATAGCAGAGATTTTTACTAGGATGTTTGACTTCACCTTAAATAGTGTGACTAGTATTCATTACTTTGCAAGGCTCTTCATCCTAGGAATTGGAGCTATCTGGATAGACTGATTATAGAGCATCTGGGAAGTGGGGAATGGGGGGGTAGAGGTCAGATTTGATCCGAGGAAAGGGAAGGTTGCTCCAGCTTCTTGAAACACAAGCCTTTCACCAGCAACAAGCCCCCCCCCTCCCCTTTCATCCCCCCTCCTTGAGGGTTCTCGTGATGGCTCTCAGTTCTCCAGTCTCAAGTACTTGATGGAACACACCTGGAGGAAGACAAGAACACTGAGCTCAGTTACTGAGTACTTAAAACTGTGGAAACTAACGATTACTGTTGCTTAGCGAGACGTCTTTTAAGAATCCACTCGTACTCCAGGACTTAATTTGACGGTGTCCACTCGTAGTTCAGGACTGACGGGGAGGCCACTCGTAGTTCAGGACTGACGGGGAAGGCCACTCGTAGTTCAGGAACTGACGGTAAGGCCACTCGTAATTCAGGACTGACGGTGAGGCCACTCGTAGTTCAGGACTGACGGTGAGGCCACTCGTAGTTCAGGACTGACGGTGAGGCCACTCGTAGTCCAGGACTGACGGTGAGGCCACTCGTAGTTCAAGACTGACGGTGAGGCCACTCGTACTTCAGGACTGACGGTGAGACCACTCGTAGTTCAGGACTGACGGTGAGGCCACTCGTAGTCCAGGATTGACGGTGAGGCCACTCGTAGTCCAGGACTGACTGTGAGACCACTCGTAGTTCAGGACTGACGGTGAGGCCACTCGTAGTCCAGGACTGACGGTGAGGCCACTCGTAGTTCGGGACTGACGGTGAGGCCACTCGTAGTCCAGGACTGACGGTGAGGCCACTCGTAGTCCAGGACTGACGGTGAGGCCACTCGTAGTCCAGGACTGACGGTGAGGCCACTCGTAGTCCAGGACTGACGGTGAGGCCACTCGTAGTCCAGGACTGACGGTGAGGCTACTCGTAGTTCAGGACTGACGGTGAGGCCACTCGTAGTTCAGGACTGACGGTGAGGCCACTCGTAGTTCAGGACTGACGGTGAGGCCACTCGTAGTTCAGGACTTTGAGGGTAAGTTCATTCGTAGTCCAGGAGGACTTACTCCGACGGTGAGGCCACTCGTAGTTGAGGAGGACTTACTCTGACGGTGAGTCCACCAACATGTCAACCTCCCATGCAAACACCATGTAGGATTATCCCCATAATCTTGACCTGGGTGTAATCTATTATTACATTCACGAGGTTACCTGCTAGTCGCTTCCGGAGGTTACCGCCCTCGTGATTAGGACTGTGGGGCCCATCAGACTGCGGTGGCTGAGTCAGAACTTGAATATGATTAGTTCCTTATTGGGTTCCTTCTTGAAGATAGCCAGGGGTTTGCTGGTAATTCCTCTTATGCACTGATTGAGAAAGCTGAAGAAATGTGGTCTCCTTACATTTATTGAGTTATCTCTCAGTGCACACACCGCAGCCTGTTTTTTATTGGAGGTATTTTGCACAGTCTGCCATGCCTTGTGATCTTATAAGGAGTGATTTTAATGTACATGTTTGGCGTCAATTCCTGTTGTATCTTCCAGTTGCAGGTTATGATGTGTCTTTCTCGCCAACGTCTCTAACGAGTATAGTTCGAGGGACTTCAAGTGCTCCCAGTAATTTACATGCTTGACTGAGGTTGTACGAACTCTGAAGATTCTCTGTACAATGTACAGTTCTGCAATGTTTCTTACCTTCTGGGGGCAGTTAGCATACCGCAACATTCCAGTCTGCAACCGTTGGCAACAACAGTGGTCCATTTGGGGGTGTTGGGGAGGCTACACTCTTCCACCTACATATCGGACACACACGTCTCACTCACGGGTATCTCATGGAGAAACGCCCGGCACCACTCAAGTTATTTTATCAGTTTGCCATCTCTTAATATATTAGCTGTGGCTATTAAAGAGCTCGCAGAATTCACTTCCGAAGTCTCCACCACCTTAACGCACATCTCTACCTGAGATTTGTCCTTAATTTTTAAAGGGGTGGACAGGTAAAGCCAGCAAAAGGCCTCAGTCAGATGACCCAAAGCTCCAGTGGTGGGTCATCATGTGACTAAGACCCGCATCAGGAAACACTCGTCCTGTTTCCTGACTAACCTAGCCTAACCTAATATAACCTGTACCTGTTCTATTGATTGCAACAGAAACTAATCTATTGCACCAACTTTAATTATATTTTTTTCCCTCTAGCACTCTCCACTAAGACTTACTCCTGCCCCATTATTTCTAACATTCGCGCACTTCATCTTCAGCATATCCCACCCTGCAGCCCTGTATGACCCTTCCGGGTTTAGCGCTTACTGTAATTATTATTATTATTATTATTATTATTATTATTATTATTATTATTATTATTATTATTATTTCAGCCTAGAAAGGATGAGTAACCTGGAGAGTATCATCATTGGCTTGGCATCTCTTGTTCTACATTTTAGATGTCTTAAATTAGTCATAAACAAGAAGATCTCATTTGTCGGAATTGGGATGTTTTCAGGATAGTACTCGATTACCGCTAGATGGTGTTTAAACTGCTGGGAAGTTACATCTGATGGCTTTACGAGTGTACGACTGCAACAATGAGATTCTGATTTTTGGTTTTAACCATCAGAGCCTCAGCTACATTGTTTGTGGTTGTATATCAATGGTATTCAATAACGACGAACTACTTGTTAACTCCTGGCCCAACTCTTGGCCATGACTTACTTCCACTGGGGAATCCCACCTACATCTGCTGTATTTTATCTGACTCCAGTATAACCACCAGTCCTCTGCCTTCCTTCACATTCTTTAAGACTACAGTGTTTATCACCTGCTTCTAGGCTGAGGGACTGATTGCCTCATCTTATACTGTCTGCTGTATATATTTCTAGTTTTTATATCATATCCATGTATTGTATTAATAAAGCCACTGGTTGGCGAAATGTCTACAAATAAAGATTCCCAGATGTTGTTCTTGTGCCTAATACATCATCGTCTGTGGTGTTAACTCAGTGCAGCCACTCTCTTTTATTGTTATGGTAGCACCTCAGTAGCGGCGTAGTCAGGGAGGGAGGTCGAGCTCAGGGCTCATTCTCCGGGGCTCGGGCCTTCTAGGAAACACTGGCCAAGTTTGAAGACAATGAATAGTGGAGTACTGAGATGGCCTACTGGCCAATGCTAGGCAGGTCAAACACACTTCCAACCAAACATGTACGACACAGTGGTACAAGTATCCTTTATTCAATAATAATAATAATCATAACAACAATAATAATAATAACGATAGATAGTGTTATGTATTTATCACATGTCCACAGAACGATATAATTACGTGTATGTGTGTATGAATTTTTGTACATGTGTGTACATTCACTTATATTATTCAGTTTATAAGTGCTATGGTTATTTTCTTTTCCCAGGCTAAAATCTTTCATTTGTCCACATTAAACTGCATCTCCGACCACTTCATCAAACTATCCTGACCTTCACGTAGCACTCTAGTGTCTGTCTTCGTAAGAATTTAACTGAATATTTTGGTGTCATCGGCACACTTGTTTATGTCGCTATTTATGTCGTTTACGTATATTGTCAACAATCTCCGATGTAAATATAAACACAAATGCAGTATAATGTGATCCTTTATTGACTACGTTTCGCCCACAGTGGGCTTTTTCAAGTCACAAACAGAGCTACCTGGGGTGGAAGGAACGCGAGTATTTATAGTCCGGTTCAGAATGCTGAGGTCAGGTGAAGAATGCTGACCTCAGCATTCTGAACCGGACTATAAATACTCGCGTTCCTTCCACCCCAGGTAGTTCTGTTTGTGACTTGAAAAAGCCCACTGAGTGGGCGAAACGTAGTCAATAAAGGATCACATTATACTGCATTTGTGTTTATATTTACATTGTGTCGGTATTTTATACCATTTATTTCCAATCTCCGATGTGGAACTCTACCAAAGGCCTTACTTAAGTCCATATACACAATATTATATTCATTACCATGATCTACCATTTCAAGGTGGCATCGAATATCCCCAACAACTATTGATTTCATCAATTTCCCCACAATGGAGGTCGGGCTATTTGGTCTATAATTCGAAGTTAATGATCTGTCTCCTGCTTTGTAGATAGGCATCACATTTGCCATTTTCCGCTTATCTGGCACTACGATGAAAAGACTAGCCAAAGGTTTGCTAAGTTCCTCCTTATATTCCTTAATAATACTTGAGAACAGTTCAACAAGGCCCGGAGATTTGTGTGGTTTTAATCTATTTGTCTGAGAACCAAATCCTAGTGACTTTGATCATGCATAACTTATTTTCGTCCTGACCTATACAATTTTTTATTTTTGGAATATCGCTATTATCTCCCTGCATAAAAACTAAGAGGAAAGGGTGTTGTCACTGATAGTGAGCTGACGTGATCAACTTTGAAGTTGGCCGACTTTTCCATAATCTTTCGGGTTAAGGTCTTCTATTCTAT